TTTCGGGTAATTTATATTCACTAATTCTAGGGGTATCCCCTTGTTTACTATCTCCAATGGGATTGCTAGTTTTTAACATTAGTTTTGTCATGTCCTTCTCTACACCTGTTTCTCAACTACAGCTCTCGTCTCCTTCCAGGCCACTGACATTCATTTCTCCATTTTTCCAGATACAGTCTACCAGGACAGCATCTGCACCAGGGACGATACCATTCTGGGAGACTTTTATTTTCCCATCTGTTATAGAATGCTTTCAGGTTTTCTATGAAGGAGTTTTGATGTTATCATCCATTAATACCAATGTCATTTTAATCTACATTTGGATCTCATTTGGGCATTCCCAAAAACATTTCCCTGATTTAATACATCTTGTAGATAATTCTTGGATATCTGGACAAGGTGCATGGGCCCAATTACCACAGAAGTTGCATGTAATCCATGCAGAAGCCAGTTTGGTTGTTTGGTTGCAGACTACATGGGCCCAATTACCACAGAAGTTGCAAGTAATCCATGCAGAAGCCCGCTTCGTTGTTTGGTTGCAGACTACATGGGCCCAATTACCACAGAAGTTGCAGGTAATCCTTGCTGAAGGCAGTTTGGTTGTTTGGTTGCAGACTACATGGGCCCAATTACCACAGAAGTTGCAGGTAATCATTGCTGAAGCCAGTTTGGTTGTTTGGTTGTAGACTACATGGGCTCAATTACCACAGAAGTTGCAGGTAATCCTTGCTGAAGGCAGTTTGGTTGTTTGGTTGCAGACTACACAGTATTTTAGTAATGTTATTTTATTGGTTGTTTAACTGTATATTATGCTAATAACCTACTTAAAGTGTAGATCTATTTGTATTTGTACATGTATTGTTTAACAAGCTTACTGCTCTAGTAGTTACTGTTTGTGTGTTTGTTATTATGCTAGGCTGACACTGTGTTTGTTATTATGCTAGGCTGACACTGTGTTTGTTATTATGGTAGGCTGACACTGTGTTTGTTATTATGATAGGCTGACACTGTGTTTGTTACTAAGCTAGGCTGACACTCTGTTTGTTACTAAGCTAGGCTGACACTGTGTTTGATATTATGATAGGCTGACACTGTGTTTGTTATTATGATAGGCTGACACTGTGTTTGTTATTATGATAGGCTGACACTGTGTTTGTTATTATGATAGGCTGACACTGTGTTTGTTACTAAGCTAGGCTGACACTGTGTTTGTTATTATGATAGGCTGACACTTTGTGTTTGTTATTATGATAGGCTGACACTTTGTGTTTGTTATTATGATAGGCTGACACTTTGTGTTTGTTATTATGATAGGCTGACACTTTGTGTTTGTTATTATAGGATTTTAGGCTTTTTATTTTTTTTGGGGACACTTTGTGTTTCTTATTATGATAGGCTGACACTTTGTGTTTCTTATTATGATAGGCTGACACTTTGTGTTTCTTATTATGATAGGCTGACACTTTGTGTTTCTTATTATGATAGGCTGACACTTTGTGTTTCTTATTATGATAGGCTGACACTTTGTGTTTGAAGCAGAAGTCAAAAGTTAATCACTAGTTATTACAGCAGATGAATTTTATTAATGAAAGTGACAAATTAAAATTGACCTCAACGTGTGTGGCAAGCTGTATATTAATAAAGCTTACCAAGCTGTATATTAATAAAGCTTACCAAGCTGTATATTAATAAAGCTTACCAAGCTGTATATTAATAAAGCTTACCAAGCTGTATATTAATAAAGCTTACCAAGCTGTATATTAATAAAGCTTACCAAGCTGTATATTAATAAAGCTTACCAAGCTAATATTAATAAAGCTTGATACCAAGCTGTATATTAATAAAGCTTACCAAGCTGTATATTAATAAAGCATACCAAGCTGAATATTAATAAAGCTTACCAAGCTGTAAATTAAATAAAGCTTACCAAGCTGTATATTAATAAAGCTTTACCAAGCTGTATATTAATAAAGCTTACCAAGCTGTATAATTAATAAAGCTTTCAAAGAGCGTATATTAATAAAGCCTTACCAAGCTGTAATTAATAAAGCTTACCAAGCTGAATATTAATAAAGCATACCAAGCTGTATATTAAATAAAGCCTTACCAAGCTGAATATTAATAAAGCCTTACCAAGCTGTATATTAATAAAGCTTACACAAGCTGTAATTAAATAAAGCTTACCAAGCTGTATATACTAAAGCTTACCAAGCTGAATATTAATAAAGCTACCAAGCGTGTATATTAATAAAGCTTACCAAGCTGAAAATTAATAAAGCTTACCAAGCTGTATATAATAAAGCTTACCAAGCTGTAAATTAATAAAGCTTACCAGCTGAATATTAATAAAGCTTACGCAACTGTATATTAATAAAGCTTACCAAGCTGAAGTAGTAATAAAGCTTCCCAAGCTGTATATTAATAAAGCTTACCCAGCTGTATATTAATAAAGCTTTCGCAAGCTGTATATAATAAAGCTTACCAAGCTGTATATTAATAAAGCATACCAAGCTGTAGAATAATAAAGCTTACAAGCTGAATATTAATAAAGCTTACCAAGCTGTATATTAAAAAAGCTTACCAAGCTGAATATTATAAAGCTTACCACGCTGTATATTAATATCGCATACCAAGCTGTATATTAATAAAGCTTACCAAGCTGTATATTAATAAAGCTTACCCAAGCTGTCATATTAATAAAGCTTACCAAGCTGTATATTAATAAAGCTTACCAAGCGTAATATTAAATAAAGCTACCAAGCTGTATATTAATGAAGCTTACAAGCTGTATATTAATAAAGCTTTACCAAGCTGTATATTAATAAACTTACCAAGCTGTATATTCATTAAGCTTACCAAGTGTATATAATAAAGCTTACCAGCTTATATTAATAAAGCTTACCAAGCTGTATATTAATAAAGCTTTACCAAGCTGTAATAATAATAAAAGCCTTTATACAAAGCTGTTATTAGTAAAGCTTAGCCGACTGTATATTAATAAAGCTTACTTACCAATTGTATAGTAATAAAGCTTACCAGCTGTATATTAATAAAGCTTACCAAGCTGAAATTTAATAAAGCTTACCAAGCTGAATATTAATAAAGTTTTACACAAAGCTGTAATATTTAAAAGCTTACCAACTGTAAATTAAATAAAGCTTACACCAACTGTAGATTAATATAAGTTACAAAGCTGTATATTAATAAAGCTTACCAAGCTGTATATAATAAAGCTTTCCAAGCGTAATATTAATAAAGCTTACCAGCTGTAATATTAATAAAGCTTACCCCAAGCTGTATATTAATAAAAGCTTCCTAAGCTGAATATTAATAAAGCTTACCAAGCTATATTAATAAAGCTTACTCAAGCTGAATATATAAAGCTTACCAGCAGTATATTTATAAAAGCTACCAAGCTGTATATTAAAAAGCTTACCAAGCTGTATATTAAAAAAAGCTTACCAAGCTGTATATTAATAAAGCTTACCAAGCTTTAATTAATAAAGCTTACCAAGCCTGTATAAATTAATAAAGCTTAACCAAGCTTGTATAATTAGATGACGCTTACCAAGCTTTATATTAATAAAGCTTACCAAGCTGAATATTAATAAAGCTTACCAAGCGTATATTAATGGAAGCTTACCAAGCAGTCTATTAATAAAGCTTACCAAGCTGGTATATTAATAAAGCTTACCCAACAGTATATTAATAAAGCTTACCAAGCTGTATATTAATAAAGCTTACAAAGCTGTATATTAGTAAAGCTTACCGAGCTGTATATTAAAAAGCTTACCAAGCCTGTATATTAAATAAAGCTTACCAAGCAGTATATTAAGATAAAGCTTACCAAGCTTGTAAAAAAAAAAAATATTAATAAAGCTTACCAAGCTGTATATTAATAAAGTTTACAAAGCTGTATATTAATAAAGCTTACCAAGCTGTATATTAATAAAGCTTACCAAGCTGTATATTAATAAAGTTTACAAAGCTGTATATTAATAAAGCTTACCAAGCTGTATATTAATAAAGCTTACCAAGCTGTATATTATTAAAGCTTACCAAGCTGTAACTGATGCGAATCCATAAATGGCATGTTGTTTATTAACTATTACAGTCAAATTTGAAATTTCCACTAATTAGGTCTATAATTATGGCGTATAATTCATGATATAAAGTGCAGCCTCAGAAATAGTTTGAAACCAATCAATATATACATTGAACATCAAAATGGTATACAATACCGACAGGTTAGGTAAGACACATATGCAACAGTTAGACAACTTTATTCCGAAACGTTTCGCCTACACAGTAGGCTTCTTCAGTCGAATACAGAAAGTAGGCAGGAACAGTAGAGATGTGAAGACGATGTAATCAGTTCCATAGTTCCTGACTATGGAACTGAACTGCTCCAGGCTGAGGGACTGACAACCTCAAATTCTACGACTTCAAGGGTGATGGACTGATTACATCGTCTTCACATCTCTACTGTTCCTGCCTACTTTCTGTATTCGACTGAAGAGAGCCTACGTGTGTGGGAAACGTTTCGAAAAGTAGAGTCAACTGTTTTGCATAGTTGTCTTACCTAACAATATATACATTGTTTATTTACTTAATAAGAAAGATCTGTTACTTATGGCACCCCACTGTAGCATGACCTTAGTGTTCAGGACACTAAACCAGTGTTGAAAGTTTGATGCCGATCAAATTAGTCTTTCCAGATATTTCACAGAATATTTAAAGCTTCTATTTTTTTTACCATTTAACTACATTAACAAGGTTGCCGACACTTTAATGAAAATTAAAAGGCAGTATAGGGTAATATATCCAAGATAAACTAATTGAAAATATCAATGAATACAGAGTGCTTTGATCCATAAGCCTTTAAAATCCTCATAATTAATAAATTGTCGTAGTTGCTTGAGGCCTGGTCTGAGACCGGGCCGGCGGGGGTCGTTTGACCCTCCGAAACCCTCTTCTAGGTAAACTCCAGGTAAACTTACTAGAGAAGCAATGAATGGTGCCAGAATACCACCAAGACAAGCACACATGGAGCAAGTACCAACTGCCACACTGCGGTACTCAGTTGGGAAGATCTCAGCAGAGTAGATGTAGACGATGGAGAATGCTGCTGTGATCCCAAACTTTCCCAACAAGCTCACAACAACCATCACCCAGTAATTACCTTGTAAATGAAATATACAATAAAAGACATTAAACAAATACAGAGACATAAATACAATGTATACAAGTGACTCTTATGTGTCTACCAATGTATGTAAACTGCATTATTTGTACCGTGTAAAGAAATATAAACTGGATTGTATTGACGTATTCGTAAGTTCACTAGAACCACTGTTCTCCTTGGATCTTCATATCATTTACATAAGCATAACATAAATATACATAGATCGATTAACTGTATCGTTTTTATCTCCAAAATAGACAAAAATATTTTCTGGAAAAGAAAGCATCGGCAGGCGTAATCTCTATAGTCATCATTTGGTAATTTGCAATGAGAAATGGAAGAAAAACCTTAACAGAAACTGTAATTGGGGTTCAATTAGTTTTTTTGTCATAATACATCAGAGAGTTAACCAATAAGTAAAAGTAAGTGATATATCCTGCCACATGGAAATTGTTATGTTAAGCCCAGACTAGAGGGGAGGGGGGGGTGTTTTGGAGGGTGGGGGGGGGGGGGGGGGGGGGGGGGGAAAAGGGGGGGAGGTGGTGGGGGGGGGGGGGGTGGTGTCGGGGGGTTGATGTGGGGAGGGGTAGGTGGGGGTTGGGGGGGGGGGGGGGGGGGGGAGGGGGTGGAGGGGAGTGGGGGGGGGAGGGGGGAGTGGGGGGGGGGGGTGGTAGAGAGTGGAGGAGGGGGGGGGGGGGGAGAGGAAGGGGAGGGGGGGGGTGGAGATAGGGGTGTAGGGGGGGGGAGAGGTTGGGGGGGGGGGGGGAAGGGGGGAGGGGGGTTGGGGAGGGGGGGTGGGGTGGGGGAGGTGAGGTGGGGGGGGGAGTGGGGAGGGGGGAGGGTGGGGAGGGAGGGGGGGGTGAGGTTTAGGGAGGGGGGGGGGGAGGTGGGGGGGGAAGGGGAGGGTAGTTGGGGGGGGGGGGGAGGGGGGGGGTGTAGGGGGGGTGGGGGGTGGGGGGGAGGGTTGGAGTAGAGAGGAAGGGGGGGGGGGGGTGGGGGGTGGGGGGGTGGAGGTAGTGAGGGGGGGGGAGGGGGGGAGGAGGGGGGGGTAGTTGGTGGTGGGGGTGGGGGGGGGGGGGTTTTGAAAGGGGGAGAGGGGGAAAGTGGGAGAGGGGGGGGCGCTAAGGTGGGGGTCACTGCGGAGGGAGAGGGCGCGGGGAGGGTTTGGGCGGGGGCGGGGACGGGGGCTGGTATGGGGATTGGGGCGATGGGGGTGGAGGGGAGGGGGCGTGGGGGTGGGGGGGGAGTGGGGGTAAGGGGTGATCGGTATCCTTGGGGTTTCGGGGGTATGACTGGTGGTTCGGGCCGGTGGGTTGGATTTGAGGGGTCTTTTTCTCGGGGGTGGGTTTGTGCTTAGGGATGTCGTTGAGCCAATGGGAGTGTTGGGCGTGGGGGGTGATGGCGGTGGGTTAGTCTATAAGATGTGGGGCCGGAGTGTTTGTGGGGGCTTGTGTCAGGGTCTGATGCTTCGTTGGCTGGGGTCGTTCGCGTCTGGTTGAAAGGGCGTGTTTTGCATAAGGAGGTAGCCTGTTTAATTTTTGTTGTTGTATATTGTGGTTGAATGACTTGTTATTTTCGTTCTCTGGGTGTGGGTTGGGTTGGGATGTTGAGGGTGGGTCGCGGTTTGTGGGGAGGGCGGTTTGGGTGGCGTGTGGGACTAGGAGGGGGGGGTTGGGGGCTCGTACGCGGTTCTTGCGGTAGGTCGTGCGGGGTGGATACTCTATTAGTGTGGTTTTTTTTGGTTTGTGGGTTTTTGAGTTTTTGTTTGGGGAGGGGGGTGATGTGGAGCGTGGGGCGCATGACCCTGTTGTTTAAGTTGTGAGGGGGGGCGGGCTAGCTTGTGTCTTTTGTTTTTGGGTGTCGTTTTGTTGTCCTTGGCGTTGTTCTGGTTGGTGAAGGTTGGAAGGGGGGCTTACTGGTTTTTTGGTGTTTCTCAACTGTCTTTTTTGATCCTGTTTCTTTTATTGTCTTCCTTTATTTTTTTCCTTTACCGGGGTTAATGGTTTCCTTGTGTTTGCATTTCTTTGTCTTTAGATTACATTAATACTTGTTATTGTTTTACCTGTCTTTATTTTATGGTCTTTTTTTGTTGTTTGTCTTATTTGTTCTTACTTTCGTTTTACTTTATTTGGTTTACCTTTGATTTCTTTTCTATTATTTTTAACCGGTAGTATGTGTTTTGGTTTGGATTGTATATCTATGTGTGTTTTTCTGTTGTTTTATTGTTTTTGGACGAGTATTTTAGTTTGTTTTCTTTTTTTTATTTTTTGTCTCCTTTTCATTTTGTTTTTTGTTTAGTTGTTTTTATTTTTTGTTTGTGGTTTGTGTAGTTTTTTCTTAATTGTATTTTTTCTTCTTTTGATTTTTTTTGCTTGTTTTCCTTTTTTGTTTTGTTCTTTTTTGTGTTGTCTTTTCTATCTTTTGTTGATGGTTTTTATTCTTTCTAACCTCGTTCGTTTTGGGGTCCTTTCTTTGGGGGTTGTACTATTTTATTGCTTTATTCAGTATTTCTTTTGTGTGCCATATGTTGTTGTTTTGTTAGTTTTGTTTGCTTTTTTTCCTCTGTTCGGAGAGTTGTAGTATTGTGACTATTGTTGTGTTTGCGTTTGTCTGGGTATTGCTTGTTGATGCGGATAGTTTTGGTTGTTTTTTTCTGGCTTGGATTTACTGTTCTTTTTTTTTTGGGTTTAGTTTTTTGTTTTATGTATGTTTTTGGTTTGACTTTTTCTTATGTTTTTTTTTTATCGCCTGCTTTTTGATTGGTTTGTTCGTTTTTTTCTTTCGTCGTATTGTTTTTTGTAATACCTGTTTTCCTTGGTATTTATCCTTTATTTTAAGGATGTTATCCTTCTTTTCTCTGTACGAGTTTCTTTGCCGTTGTTTTTCTTCGCGATTCGTGTGCGTGCCATTCTCCTTTTAATATTTTTTGTTTTTTAAGTTGTAGATTTATTATTTGATTCGCTTGTAGTCCGTGTTGGGTGAGGGGTACTTGATGAGTTTCTTATCTTCTCTTTTTTTTTTACGTTTGGCTGTTGACGGTCGGATGTTTGTTTTAACATTATAATCTAGTTATGTTCCGCTTTCTGTTTATTCTGTTATTTGTAGCGTTTTTCTTGTGGGTCTTGCGTTTCCTTTTTTAATTCTGTTTTCTCTTTTTTGTTTTGTGTGTTTCTCTTTTTGCATTCTTTAGTTTGCCTTTTTTTTTTTTTATGTCTTTCTTATGTTGTTTGTTTTTTTAGTTATTGGCTACTCCCGTTTAATGCTTTTTGGTAACTTATATTATTTTTTCTTTTTTTTACCTTTTTTTTATTTTCTTGGATTGGTTGTTTAAGTTTCCTTACGTCTTTCTTCTGTCTTTGTCTTTTTTTAATTTTTTTTATTTATTTTCGATAATTGTTTCTTTTGTATTATTTTTTTTTTGTTCTTTCTTATTTTTTCTGTATTCCCTATTTTTCTTTTCTTTTTTTATTATTTGTTTTTGTTCTTTCGTCTTTATTTGTGTTCTGTGCTAATTTTCCTCTAGTTTGTCTGTTTTTATTCTTTTCGTCTTTTTTCTGTTTCTAACCCTTTTCTTTTTTGATTTTCTCTCTAGTTAGTTCTTTTTTTTTTTTCTCCTGTTTTTTTTTTATTTTTAGCCTCTTCTGTTAGATTAGGTCACTTTTGTTACTTTTTGCTTGTTTTCCTTTCCTTTTTTCTGTTTCTTTATACTTTAGCCCTTTTTTTTAGAGTTGTTTCTTTTTTTTCGTTCCTACTTTTTTTCTTTTTTTTATTACGCTATTTTTTTTCTGATTTTATTTTTTCTTTATGTTTTTTTAATTTTTTGTTTCCCTTTTTTCTTGTACTTACCTTTTTTTTATATTCTTTTGTTTTCTTACTTTGAATTTTTGTTCGTTGTTATTTTGTTAACCTTGTTTTTCTTCGTATTTTTAAATTATTTCTGTTTGGTGTTATGTTTATTTTCTGTTTCCTTTTTTTGGTCTTGTTATCTTACTTTATTTGTTGTCTTTTTTTTTAAGTTTTTGTTTTTTTTGGTCTCTTTATACTTTGCTTTCTATTAAATACTGTCTTTATGTTGTTTCCTTTCTTTTTTTGAGTTGTTACAATTATTCTATTGTTTTGTTTTTTTACCTTTTGTTTTGTCGGTTTTTATCTTTTTCTTATGTTTAGTGTGGCTATTAGGGTTTTTTTGAAGTTGTGTGTTTCTTATTTATTCTTCGTTTTGTACTTTTTTCTTTTTTTTTTTTATCTATAATTTTTTTCTTTTATTGTGGTTTCTTTTGTTTAGTGGTTTTTTTGTTTTTGCTTTTATCTTTGTTCCTATGTTAGAGTGTGCCTGTTTTGTGACCTTTCTTTGTTTGTTTTTTTCTTGTTTTTCCTTTTGTTTTTTTTCTTTTTTTAACGTTTTCTTTTTGTGTCTATTTTTTTTTTGCTTTTACTTCTTTGTCGGTCTCCTTGTTTTTTTTTCTCTGCTTCTTTTTTTGTTGTTGGGATTGTGTGGTAAAATTTTTCTTTTTGGCTTGTTTGATATTTGGGAGTGGTTGTCTTCTTCTTTTATCTCCTATTAATTGTCTTTTATATTTGTGTTTTTTTTTTTTTTATTTGAACTGTTTTTTTTTGTTTTTTTTTTCTTCGTGCTTCGATTTTATGTTTTTCTCTGTTTCTTGTTTTTTTTTATTTTATTAAAAAGCCGCGTTTTGTTTTTTTTTTTCTTCTATTTAATTTTTTGGGTTTCTTTATTTGTTTTTTATTAATATTTCGTACTTTCTTGCTTTCCTTCTTTTTCTGAATTTTTCGTTTTGCCTCTTTCTGGCCCTCCCGTGTTTTTGGTACTTAAAGTGCTTTGAGATATATTTTTTTTTTCTTGTATTGTCGTTGTGTTCCCTGTTTTTTTTTTCGTGGTGGAAACCTTTTTTTTTGTTGTTTCCTTAATGTATTTGGGTTTTTTTTCTATTTTCGGAATCTTTTTTTTCTTATTTTTTTTTTTTTATTTTTTTACTATTCTTTCTACTTACTTTTACTCTTTCCGTCTTCTTATTGTTTTTTTTTTCCACTTGTTTTTTCTTTTTTCTTTTGTTTTTTTTTTTTTTTTTTTATTCTTAGGTTGGGCTTTTATGTGTGTTGCT